GTTGAGGAATTCGGTCAGGGTTTTGCACACAAATCTGCACCAATTCTGGATGCTGACATGATAATTGAGTGGTTTCCTAGGCGTTACTATTGACGTATCTTATTATGTAACGTATAGTCGATCAACTCACCCGTAACTTTGGTGAAATGAGATGAGACTTGAGATGTCCGTCGTTAAATTATTAGTTTTATGATGACTCTCATCAAATCACCGTCATTAAAGCGATAATTCGAAATGTTTCGTCACGTTCGCCGCAATGAAATGTGACCATCAAATGATTTCATTATGATCACATTCCAACAATTCTAAATTATATAACAGTGGTCAATGAGCCAATGAATTTCTCTGATCTCATAAAATTGAAACGGAAAAATTATACTAATAAATTTTCTCGGCATATCTCCGCAAATGGAATATTTCTAAGCGATCATGATTTCTTGTGAAGTGACCACTGAATTCCGTTGAACATTTGGACGAGTACTTTCGTATCCCCTTCTTCCCTCATATATCTCCGCTCATACCATCAGCGATCTGCTAGATAAAGCTGGAGATCCAGAGGTTTTGATTCACTCATTTGGTATTCGAGCTCCACCAAGTTCTATTTCTAAGCAGACTTCCAGTGTGTATCACATCCGGTCATGAACTTACAATTCATTTGAGACCTTCCATTCTTGCCTGCCGTATGATTTAATGTCTAAACGAATCTGCCGTCTTTGACAATCGTAATTGCACGGGCCGCTTTCGNTTTTTTTTCCTTCAACCCAGTGTGTAGTTCTTGAAGAAATTCAAGCGATAAAAAACTGTTGACATGATGGTGTCTTGATTGTTGAGCGTTTGTGAATGCTGAAGGATATTCATAATTCTTAAGTAACCAGTTTTATGGCACATTTTGACGCAAATTTTCATCAATTTTACAATTATCTATTGCATATGCGTATTGCTGCTATAATTTGATATGAGTAATAGAGTTAAGAATTTACGCGCCTGTAATGTTTCGTTGTGAAATGATCGATTTTACCAACGATTTTATGACGTTTTTTTTCCATCGAATTTCCAGTACGTTTCTCGTATTTCACTCGCTTCGCGTTCGAGTTGAAGATCCTTTTTGTTTCGATGGATTTTGAACGATTCGATTACGTTCTGAATACGTGCCGTGAAAATCCTTCGAATGATTATGAAACTTATTCGAATGAGTTAATTGAATGGGAGATTTCAGTCGCAGACTCTTATTATTCCATCATGATGCTGCGGTCAAACTTTCAAACGATATCGATCAGTCTGATACTATGCTTTTGGTGTTTTTTGCTGAATCATCGGGCGCAGTCAATGCGAGTTGATCCGGAAAGAATTGCCGCTCGTCTGCGGATTGAACGAGAAATTGAAATGGATAAAGCAAAAAACAGAAATCGACGGCAACTGGTCACACCAAAAGAGATATCGATTTCGGTTCGTCAAATTTTTATTTCGTTGATTTCTTAAATATTTCTTCATTGGTACTCTA